ATAAATGTTTTATTTTCCATGTTTTTGAAGTTTATAGAAATTGTTGTGATGTGCTGTCAAGTCACCTATGACTCATAGCGACTTTATGTACAACAGCCCTAAACCCTGCTCTATCCTGTGCCAATCTCACTGTCTCAAACATATCTACCCTGATTACCCCAGTCACTGAATCAATCCATCTCATAGAGGGTCTTCTCCTGCGCTGTCCCTCCCCAAGGACTGGTCCCTCCTTGCAACATGTCCAAAGTATGTCAGATGAAGCTTCAGAACCTTTGCCTCCAAGGAGTAGCCCAGTTTCACCCTCGCCAGGACAAACCTGTTTGTTCTCCTAGCAGTCCATGGTATATTCAACATTCTTCTCCAGCACCACAGATCAAAGGTATCAATTCTCCTTCTATCATCCCTAGGCATTGTCCAGCTCTCTGATGCATAACAAGTGATTGCAAAGACCATGGCCTTTATCAGGTACACCTTAGTCTCCACATTGTTGCTCTTCAGTACTTTAGAGAGGTGTCTAACTGCAGACTTTCCCATCGCAATGTCTTTTAATTTTCTGGCTGCTGATGCCAAGAGTGTTGATTGTGGAGCCAAGTAAACTAAAGCTGTGAACAATCTCAATGTCTTCACCATCCTTCATGATGCTGCCAAACGGCCCGGTGGTGTGAGAATCTTTGTTTTCTTGATATTGAGCCTCAATCCATACTGAATGATGCAGTCCCTGACCTTCTGCAGCAAGTGTTTCAGGTCCTCCTCAGTTTCAGCAAGCAGGGTTGTATTATTTGCATAACACAGATAGTTGGTGAGTCTTCCTTCAATCCTGATGTCGCATTTCTCCTCATAGAGCCCAGCCTCCCAGATAACCTGTTCTGCATATAGATTGAAAAGGTATGGAGATAGGACACATTCCTGGCAGATACCCTTCCCAATTTTGAACCATGCAGTATTTCCTTGCTCTCTTCTGATGACTGCCTCCTGGTTCACGCATAAATTTTGCATTAGCATGATAAAGTGTTTTGGGATTCCCATTCTTCTCAGAGTTAGTTAGCCACAGTTTGTTGTGATCCAAACGCCTTGCATATTAGATGAAACAGACATTTCTCTGGTACTCCCTGCTTTCAGCCGAGATCCAGCTAACATTCACTACAATATCCCTAGTACCATGACCCCTTCTAAACCCAGCCTGTTGATGTGCTTTTATAGACATAGAGATATATAATTTTCTTTTATGCCTATTTTTTTCTTCCTCAACATTATGTCTGTGTGACTCATTTAGGTTGGATGCAACTAAAATTTCATTCATGTTCACTGTCATGTAATATTGTGTGAACACATCAAAATTTTCTTATCCTTTCTATTGTTAATGGTTACTTGTATTTAGGCTATTACAGATAATGCTGCTATTAATATTCATGCATGTATCTGTAGGATGAATACCTAAGAGTGAAACTGTCTGTTTTGAAGTAGAAAACTACTTTCTAAAATAACTCTACCAATTTATTTTCTCTTCAGCAGTACCTGGCAGTTTCTAATGCTCCATTAATCTTACCAATACTAGTCTACTCAACATTGTGCAGTGGTATCTTACACAGCACTGCAGAGTTGATTCTGCCTCATAGCAACCCTATAAGACAGGTTAGAATCATTCCATAATTTTTCCAAAGCTGAAATCATTACGGAAGCAGATCTGCCACATCTTCTGGAGTGGCAGGTGGGTTTGTATTGAGGCTTTTTGGTTAGTAGTAGAGCTCTTAACTAATGTGCCAGTAGAGGTGGGTACTAAAGGTGTCTTAATGTGGCTTTAATTTCTATATCCCTGATTATTAGTGAGGTTGATCACTTTTCTGTAAGTTTATGGACTATCCAGATACTCACTTTGTGATATTCTATTCAAGGATTGGGACTACTGTTTCACCTCTGAGGCTTGCAATTTTACCTTTTTTCTTAAAAAAAAATTAAATTGTGGTTTCAATGGAAGTTTACAAGGAAATTTTACACAATCATTTATACAGATACATCTCCCCTTTTTTTACCCTTTTCATCCTCTTAATGTTGTTTTGATGGAACTAAAGTTCTTAATTTCAATAAAGTTCAATTTATCACACTTTTCTGTTGCATTTAGTATCTTTTATTTATAATTTAAACAGTCTTTCCCTTAATTAAAGTCATAAGCATATTAATCTTTAATGTCTTCCAGGGAATGTGTTATTTCCCCCTTTTTTATTTTTTTAATAATTTTAATCAACATTTACAGAGAATTTGGATTTCCATTCATTCATTGCTGCACTTCTCTCCCCGCCTAGCCCTCTCCCCCCGCCCCCCCGTTCGCTCCTCTCTTTCAAAAGTAAAAGAAAGACTCCCTCCCTGGTACACAATCCCCCCGCACCCCTCCCACCGCCCCAAGTACATTCCACTATGCAACCTTAATTGTGGACTCTTGTGATAACCATAATACCCTATCATACATCGCTTTTAAATTATTCAGTCCCTCATCTGTTTCCATGCAGTATACACAATTTATCCAGTTTTTCTCAGTCTTACCCCACCCTGATATCAGTCCCATTTTACAGCAGTGGCACCATGCAATATTTGTCCTTTTGCGACTGAGATATTTCACTCAGCATAATGTCCTCCAGGCTCACCCATTTTGAATAATATTGAATGAGTTCCTTGTTTTTCAATGCAGCATAGTATTCCATTGTGTGAATATACCACAGCTTCTCTACCCATTCGTTTGTTGATGGGCACCTGGGTTGTTTCCAACTCCTTGCTATTGTGAACAGAGCTGCGATAAACATGGGTGTGCATCATTTCCCCCTTTTAAGTTCTACAATCCACAAGGAATTGAATATTGTATGCTGAGTGGTAGGTGTCAAGTTTCAAATGGATATCCAGCTGTTTTTTTTCCACTATTCTTCAACATCACCTTTTGTCTATGCTCTTTATTTTATTCAATTGGTTTCTTTACTTTGCAGGGACATGCACATGCAGGCACGTGCACTGTCTCTCTCTCTCCCTCCCTCCTTTCCTTTCTCTATCTCTCTCTCCCCACCTCTGTCTTCCTCTCTGTCCCTCCCCCTGGTGATATCTTTAAAATACTAGGTCTTCTAATCCATGAACATGGTCTATTTCTTAAAATATCTGAGTTCTAATTAGTTTCTAGCAATACTATTTTATTGTTTTCTGGATCTGTCTTGTAAGTGGTAAGCTTATAGATACTTGTTTTTTGGTATTCTATGAGAGATGGTATCTATAGTAGGCTAAATGAAAGGCTTTGCCTCACTGGCATTTGAATCTACCTGAGGCTCCAAGGGAGAAAGATGATCATCCTCCTGTGTGATTTACAGTTTCAGAAACTCAACATAGGGACAGCTCTGAGTTGGTTTGGACTCAAGAGCAATGAGCTTGCGGGGATTTTTTTTGGTAGGAAGGGTGATCTTACTGGGAAAAAGAGTCTCTGGAGATGTAAATAAGGATTTCAAGATATGATCATTCTGGATTATCCAGGTAAATCCTACATCTAATAGGAAACACACATAACTTATGAGAGAGAGAGGAAAAAACCCTAAAAACCCTACTGCAATCAAGTCAGTTCTAACTCATAATCACAGATTTGATCCAGAGTGAATTGCACACCAGATTTTCCAAGGCTGTAAATCTTTACAGAAGCAGAGTGCTCATTCTTTCTCTTATAGGGCTGCTTATCAGTTTTGTTTAGCAGCTAAATACTTTAAGATAGTGCCACCAGGACTTTATGAAAGGAAAAGATCCCATGTGCAGATGGGATCGGAGTTACGCAGCCTCAAGGCAAGGACTCCTAGGAACCCCAAGAAACAAATGACGAAATGAACCTAAGAACCATAGAACCTAAGAGGATCGAGGTCCTGTTAACACTTGAATTTAGATATTTGGTATGAAGAATTGTAAGAAAATACATTTCTGTGACTTAAACATCTATTAGTTCTAGAAACAAATATTAGTTCTTCACAATTAATTTTCTCTTGTTGATGCAGCATCCCTACTTAAGTTCAGTTCATCTACCTTTTAAACATGCAATGAATATTTTATGGAAAAAAACAAAATAAATACAACTCAAATAAAAATTGTAAAAAGAAAATCAGAAAAATTTACCAACAAAGTAAGATAAAAAGCAAATTCTGAGGAGACGAATAAGCAAACCCTGAAATGGGAAGGGAAAGAGTCAACCTTGCTATCTTCTGTGAGGTCAAGTTAAAGGTTTGCACTTAGATTTTTTTGATGTTTACTTTGCTTTAATCATCACTATTGTCCTTCAGAAATCAGAAAACTAGAGAGTAAATTTGTACTCTACCAAATTGTTATTAAATAGGGTTATTGCTTTAACCATTAGTTATCATTAATATTAATTAATGTGTTAATTAATAAATATAATTCATATTAGATTAGTTAACCCTATCTTCCTTTGTTTTTATCAAAGACTCAATCTTCATGCAATAGCCATATTAATTTACTAAAGGAAGTATTAATTTACTAAAGCTTATCTTGTTAAAAAATTTTTATTTTTTTTTAAAGAGCATCCATGTTTATATGGCAAAGATGCATGCCTACAAAAACATATATTGCTCTTGTTAAGTGTTGTTGAGTTGATCTGGACTCAAAGTGACCTCATGTGACAGAGTAGAACTATCTTATAGTGCTTTTAGGATGTAATCTTTGCAGTAAACAAAAAAAATCACCAGATCTTTCTCTCATTAACAGTTATGCCACCAGTGTTCCTTACATGAACTAATACTTTTTTTCTTAAACTAATACTTTGATCCACCAGCTATCCTGCTACATCTTAATACAAGTTAGAAATGTAATTTCATACAAAGGCCATGATGTGAGATATAATAAATCCTGGTTGCAATTACTTGCACTACCACAGGCAGAAGCCAACAAAGATGTTGTAAAGACAGAAAATGACTATGTCTCACAAATGAGATTGGTAAAATGAGCAGAAATTTGGCTACCATTTAACTAACCATTTTCCGATGAACTGCAATGATGTAGCCTGTAAAGGGGTTGTCAGGAAGAGATGGCATGTGACCATTCACCATTCCATTTGTGAAGTTCTTCTCAGTTCCACATGGCACAACAGTGTTTGGCATTCCGTTGGGGATGAAGAGTGGTCGGGACAAGTCTCCATTGGTGGTTAGGGTGAACATTCCATTTGTAGATGGGGAAGAAGAGAAATCTATAGAATCAAAGGTAAGTACAGTACCATAAACACTTGCAGGACCTTTATCTTGGTTCATTTCCCAGAACAGTGGCAATGTCATTTCTTTGGATACAGGGCAGGCAGAAATTCTAGCTCAAATAATAATAATTATTCTAGGTTAATGGAAAGATTTTAATCTCAGGTTTTACCTCAAGTCACACTGAGTAAGCAACAAAGCAAGAGTATTTGTAAGAAAAATGTAAGCAGATTTTTGCAAAAACCTGTATAAGCACCTTATTGTAGCATACAGAATTCTATTATCTATTTTCTTTTTGGCACTTCTACATTCCTTTTAAATTTGCTTTGTACTATATGGCAGCTTTGAACTACATGTTGCATCTTACAAGAAATTAAAAACATTTCCTCAGTTTCTTTAGGACTATTTCAAGTGCTCAGGAACCCATGATACTAGTAAGCTACCAGAAGGGACAGTATAAATTATATAACATTTTCATCATTGCATAAAGTTATATTAGACAGTGTTCTAATAACAAGCAACAGCAAATCACCTTAAGTCCTACCTACTAGGTGCCAATGAGAGGAGCCTTTAAAGGACTCTACAGGAGAGTTCCCATCTGGAGTATCATTCTATAAATCTAGTATGATCCCTTTTACCATCTGCTGCTGTGCTGTTTACAGATAAAATAGTTAAAAGAGACAGAAATTTCAGCACTAGATTACCTAATAACTCTGAAAAAACCTGGAACGCATAGTTATTGTATTGGAACCAGATCACAGCTGATCCTCTAGCAGGTTTTAACACAAGAGATTGTCTACCTTTCTCCTGTGGAGCAACTGGTGAATTTGAACTGTCAGTGAGGAACCACTTTTGGGTTAGAAGTTCAACTCTCCAAGGACTAAGCCACTAGATCTCCCTACCAAATAATAATTTAGGATCTTTGGATTTTAGGCTCCTTATCTAAGACACAATGAGAAACTTAAGCGAAATGATGACTAACGGTTCCTTGTAGGGAAAAAATTATTTTGCTCGAATATCCTCAGCTAAACAAGAATAAAAAGTATGACTCTCAAACTCTCAGGCAAATTTTTGCAGTGGAGATAATAAAAGTTTTCATTCTATCTTACCTGTCTGTATTGGGCTAGAAGCTGAAATGGGAGATTCAGGAATGGGAACCTCAAATGCACATAGAAAGCCACTCACTGAGAGCCGTACTTTCTGGTTGTCTTGAGGGAAGTTCTATAAAAAAATAAACAAGATGGAGGGGATATTTCAGATAAAATGGAAAATCTTCTCTCAGATATATTTAAACCTTAATGTCTTAGCTGATCAGTAAAAACCAGATAACTAAGTAATATTTTCAATTAACTAAAAGATGAATGTAAACAACTAAAACCTTCACTGCTAAAACTAAACCGACACCAAGTAAAAAATTCCGTTATAATTTTTTCTTTAGGAAGTACACTGTGTATAACTGTATTTTTCTTCAAGCATTTAAATCTAAAACCTTCAAAGATCTTGCCTTTGCACTTTCATATGAAAAAGAAAATTCATGATGAGGTTAAAGTTTGCTCAGAAACATCAAAGACGAATCTAAATGATACCAAGAGTAGGAGCTCAACCTACTATAGTTAGGTTCTAATGAACTGGTTCTGGCTTTTGGAGACCTGAAGTCCAACAGCTGGAAACTGTCCAGTCCTGTGTCATTTTCATAATTGTTCCTATGTTTGAGCCTTTTCTTCTAGTTCCTGGGACAATCCATCTCTTTCACTGACCCTGTTTTTCTAAGCATAATATAATTTTCCAGGGACTTCTCCTTACAAATGTTCACTTTTAAAGTGTATTTTGACTCTAGTTCTTTAAAGACACATTTCCTTGCTCTTATGGCAGTTCATGTTAAAGTCAACACCCTTCTGCAACAACGTAACTCAAAAGCATCATTTTTCCCCCTTATTACTTATTATCAAATTCTTGCAAATATATGACTGAAAAAAGATAAAGAAATAAAGCTTTAGGAGTATCTTAGTCCGTAAAGTGACATCTTTGCTTGTGAATACTTTGAAGAGATCTCTAGCAGATGTGTCCAATACTGTATGTTCTCTGATTCTGGGACTGCTGTTTGTATAGGCACTCATTGTGGATTCAAGGAAAATAAAGCAGTTGATAATTTCAATCTTTTATCCACATAGAAAGATTTATGGAAATTAGAATACCATTCTAATGAAAAGAATCAAGAGCTGCCTAGACAGAATGCTTAGTGTTACCTTTATGTTGGAACTATGTACTTCAGCAAGAAGGATCTGTTCTGACTTCAATCCACAGAGATCACTCAGCTGTTTTTTCAAACCTGTGTATTTTTCATCCATATTCAGTCTTAGTCCATACCGTACAGGGGTAGTACCATCTAGCTTAATAACTGCCAAGAGACAGAGCTTGTATTTGTAAAATGCAGGTCACATTGAAAGCTTTCTACCATACACAGATATATCAACTTTGAAGTAACAAACATTTTAGCTAGATATTTTTTATGCATAAAATGCTACAATAGATGATATTTAGAGCTATTACTGAGTGAAATTAGTACTTCATAGTGCTTATCATATAAAATATATATTGCATTGATTATGCAAAGGCATTTGACTGCGTGGATCATAACAAACTGTGGCTGACTCTGAGAAGAATGGGAATACCAGAACATTCAATCGTGCTAATGCGAAACCTATACTTGGACCAGGAGGCAGTCGTCAGAACAGAGCAGGGCAACACTGAATGGTTCAAAATTGGGAAGGGTATGCGCCAGGGATGTGTCCTATCTCCATACCTTTTCAACCTGTATGCAGAGCAGATTATCCGAGAGGCTGGGCTCTATGAGGAGATACGTGGCGTTAGGATTGGTGGAAGATCTATCAACAATCTGCATTATGCAGATGACACAACCTTGCTCACTGAAACTGAAGAGGACTTCATGCACTTACTGCAGAGGGTCAAGGACTGCAGCCTTCAGTATGGACTGAGGCTCAATGTCAAGAAGACAAAGATTCTCACCACTGGACCAACTGGTAGCATCAGGATGGATGGTGAAGAGATTGAGATTGTTCACAGCTTCAGTTTGCTCGGCTCCACAGTCAACACTCTTGGCACCAGCAGCCAGAAAATCAAAAAACGTATTGCAATGGGGAAAGTCTGCTGTTAGGGACCTCTCTAAAGTATTCAAGAGCAACGGTGTCTCTTTGGAGACGAAGGTGCGCCTGATACAGGACATGGTCTTTGCAATCACTTGTTATGCATCAGAGAGCTGGACAATGACTAGGGAAGATAGAAGGAGAATTGATGCCTTTGAGCTGTGGTGTTGGAGAAGAGTATTGAATGTACCATGGACTGCCAAGAAAACAAACAGATTCATCCTAGAGAGGGTTAAACCAGGCTACTCCTTGGAGGCAAAGATTCTGGGGCTTCGTCTGACATACTTTGGACATGTTGTAAGGAGAGACAGGTCTTTGGAGAGGGACATCATGCTGAGTAGAGTAAAGGGACAGCGCAGGAGGGGAAGACCCTCTATGAGGTCGATTGATTCAGTGACTGGGGTAATCGGGATGAGTGTGTCAGAGGCAATGCAAGTGGCACAGGATAGAGCAGGATTTAGGGCTGTTGTACATAGGGTTGCTATGAGTAGCAAGCGACTCGACAGCACATAACAACAACAACATCATATAAAAACCCGAATAGCTTGGGACAGTTGTTTTTTGTAATCAAGGTGAAATTAATTTAATATATAACCATTTTAAAGGGAACATTTCAGTGGTATTTAAGTATATTCACAATGAGTTACAATTACTGCCTCTTTTTGTTTCAAAATTTTTTCTACAACTCAAGAAGACCCCAAGGTCATTAAATAATAATTCCTCATTAGCCTTTCCTCCTAGCCATAGTAACCATTGATGTGATATCAATGTGTATGAATTTCCCAATTCTGGATGTTGTTGTTGTTATGTGCTGTCGAGTCACCTGTGACTCAACGACCCTATGTACAACAGCCCTAAACTCTGCTCTGTTCTGTGCCAATTGCACTGTCTCAGATACACCCAGCCCGATTACCCCAGTCACTGAATCAATCAACCTCATGGAGGGCCTTCCCCTCCTGCGCTGTCCATCCACCCTCCCAAGCATGATGGCCCTCTCCAAGGACCAGTCCCTCCTTACAACATGTCCAAAGTATGTCAGACGAAGCCTCAGAATCCTTGCTTCCAAGGAGCAGCCCGGTTTAAGCCTCTCCAGGCTGAAACTGTTTGTTTTCCTAGCAGTCCATGGTACATTCAATACTCTTCTCCAGCACCACAGCTCAAAGGCATCAACTCTCCCAAGTCATTGTTCAACTCTCTGATGCATAACAAGTGATTGCAATGACCATGGCCTGTATCAGATGCACCTTAGTCTCCAGAGAGACGCCACTACTCTTCAGTACTCTGGATAGGTCCCTAACAGCAGGCTTTCCCATCGCAATGTGTCTTTTCATTTCCTGGCTGCTGGTGCCAAGAGTGCTGACTGTGGAGCCAAGCAAACTTGTTCATATAGAAGTAATCACACAGTATGTGACCTTTTGTATCTGGTTTCTTTCCCTTAATGATAATGTTATCAAACTTGATAATGTTATCAAGGTTCATCCAAATTGTAGTATGTATCAGGACTTCAATTCTTTTTATGATTGGATAATATTTCATTGTGCATATACACCACAGCTTGTTTATCAATTCATCTGTTGATGGACATTTGGTACTTTCCATTTTTGGCTGCTATAAACATTTGTGTAAAAATTTATGGATGATAAGATCAAAGAAAAATCAACGTAAAAAAATTATGGATGAACAGGTATTTAAACTTATCTTGGATATAGACCTGGGAATGGAAATGCTGTCATATAATTATATCTTTAACTTTTTGAGGAACTGACAAACTTTTGAGCATTGCTGTCTCATTTTGTTCCCATCATTAAGGGACAAGGGTTCCTGTTTCTCTATACCCTAACACTTAATATTTTTATTACAGCCATCCTCCTGCATATGCAATGCTAAGTCACTGGTTCTGCTACATTCCCTTAATCTCCAATGACTTTGTAAAGTTTTAAAAGGAGTTAGTTTTTGGCATGTTTCAAACTTAAAGAGGAATCAATGGGCACAGAAAAGGCCCACATTCTAAATCACAATATCATATTTGGGGTTAGTGTTTTTCTCTTTAGATATTAAATGTTGATTTTTCTCCATATTTTCCAAATAGTAGAAAAGGAAAAGTTAGGTCATACAGTAAAATATCATTTCTGTGAGTCTTTGTCCAATTTCTGACAGAAGCTAGAATATCCCAAGTGTTTCAAACTTCAAATCATGATTGAAAGAAGATTATGAAATCATAACATGCTGACAACTGATCTAAAAGCAAATGACTATACCCAACTCAAGTGGCTTTTAAGGTAAAAGACAACAGAGGTAAGTAATTTCCTCAGACCTTGATAACCTACCTGTTATTTCTAAGTGCATATAACTGTCCATTGGTAATGGTAAAGACAAAAAATTGAAAGGGTCAAATCGGACACTTATATGGCCACATGTCTTGCATTTAACTTGGGATCTTAGCTGTCCATGAAACAAATCCACAACAATTGATCTATTCCTTCTCAGATGGTTGTCCCAGGCCTAGCAAGGAAAAAGATTAGAGAACTTTATAAAAATTAAAACCATAAGCATTTCTACCCAAATTCAAAGAACTTGGTTAAATATACTGGACAAAAATGTTAAGACTATAATTGTTCATCTTTATTTAAAATATAAAAGCTTTCTGCCTACCAACTTACTATTCAGAAATGTAATTTAAAATATACTGTTTACTGGGATAGTAGAGAAAACTGGCTAATGAACAAAATATGAATGCTCTTCCTTCAACCTACTATTGTCAGCTGCAACTGCACTGTCCCAACACACAGTGATCTGCAGGGACAACAAAGTAAGACATCCCATGACAGGCTCTGTTCAATTTAGCACATAATAAATATGGAAGCAAAACCTTATTTTCCCTTTGTTCTATTATGGTAATAAAGTTCTATGTCCAGAAAAAAGAAGATAAAAGTGTCTATTTGCCCTATTGTCATTTCCTTAGCAATTAAGAGCATGCTGCTAGATAATGACTTCTTCTTGCCCCTTTTCCATAAAGTTTATATGAAATGACAACATTTTCTTATTTTCAATAAGGTGCTTTTGTCTTGGCATTATTCTACATGAATTACATAAAGGAACACAGATTTCTTTGTTTTCACAGTAAATTAAGGAGTGTAGGAAAGCTGATATATTCACTTGTGGCTAAACAATCTATTCTTACAGTAGATACTGAAAACTGACAAACCTCTGCAGCTACTTCCCAGTCTGGCCGGCCATCACTGTCCTTCAGTTCTACATATGGTTTCTCATGGACTCGGTTAAGATCTTCATGAAGACCATCCAAGAGAAAAGCCAGAAGTTCTTGGGAGTCTTGCTGCTGGAACCCATTAAACCTGGGAGCATATTTTGCTATGGTCCACTATAAATACGAAGAATCAAGAGTTATTCCATACCCATAAAGTTGCAGATAATTCAAGTACAGCCAACAATAATATTATTTAGCTTGCTTTTATTTCAGCAAATATCATTTGGGTAACCAAGAAATCTTTCTATTCTTAAACTAAAAAAGACAAAAAAGTATTCAGTCATTACTAAGTAATACCAGCTCAGTATCAAATAAACAAATGGAATTTGGCAGGGATACAAAATACTAAAACAGTACACATTCACATTGCTATTGAAAGATTTCTTGTTATATATTTCTTTCATAGTTGACATTCCTGGTATTTTTTTTTATATCCTAATGTTTATTATTAGAGGCATAAAGCCTTGTGTTTAACTGTGAGGACTTGCTAACTAGCTTGTTATGGTGGTCAGGTGACTTAACTACTCTGCAGCTGAGGCTCCTGAGCTGTAAATCAGGGATATTATGGGAGCACTGGTGGTTGGTAAAAAGCTGCACTGGAATCCTAACAGCATGCAGTTTGAATCCACTAGCTGCTCCGGGGGAGAAGGATGGGCAGTCACTTCCCATGCAATTTATTGCCTTTGAAAATTCGCTGGAGGGTCAGTTATGGGTTGGGTGCAACTTGCAGGCACACAACAACATGTTGTTTTACACCACAGGGTTATTTAGAGGAGTAAATGAGTTCATACAGGTAATTAGAAGTGTCTAGAAAGTGCTAAGTACACAAATGGATAGCTATTAAGATTGGAAAATTATAGCTTAAAAAGTTTTGGCTAACAATAAGAAAATCTCAACTTCAAAACAATCGACCACATGTGGTAAAACTTGCATCCATTAAATTCTTACCTTCTGCTATTTTTAAAAATCTTTTAGAAGGAAATCTTAGAAAAACTTGGTAATTAATTAAACCCTGAGGGTCACCTAAGAGTTAGTGTTATTAGTGAAGTACCAAAAAGCAAAGCATTTGATAAATTAATCAAATGAAGGATTATTCAAATTTAGACTATGCCTTTGATTTTTTTTAATTGAGATTTTAATGAAAGCTCATTAAGAATTTGGATTTCCATTCATTCATTGTTGCACATTTTCCTTCCTGTCTCCCTCCCATCCCGCCTCCCTGCCGGTTTGCATTTTTCCTTTTAAAAAGATAATTTTTTCATTGTTATACAGTCCATTCTCCCACTCCCACCCCCCAAGTCCACTTTACTGTGCAGCTCTTATTCCGGACTCTTGTCATGACAGTAGTATCTTATCATATATTTCTTTTATACCTTTCTCTCCCTCATATGTTTCAATGTTGTGTACATTATTTATCCCTTCTTTTCTTAGTTTCCCCTAAACCTCCATATCAGTCCTGTTTTATAAGAGTGGCCTTATGCAGTATCTGTCCTTTTGTGACTGAGATATTTCTCTCAGCATAATGTCCTCCAGGGTCTCTCATTTTGTATAGCATTTCATGAGTTCTTTGTTTTTCAATGCTGCATAATATTCCATCATGTGAATATACCATAGCTTCTCCATCCATTCACCTGTTGATGAGCACTTGGGTTGTTTACAACTCTTTGATATTGTGAAAAAAGCAGCAATAAACATGGGTGGCTGATCTGTTCTGACTTTGTACTTGTACAAATATTTTATATTTATCTAAATAAACCAAAACACTTGTGTCTGATCTATGTCTGTCTAGCAAAGGACCCAACAACATTAAATGAAAACTACATGCCACCAGAATTCTTTAGGAAGTCAGCAAATTTTATATTCTTTTAATCTTCTTACCCGAAGCTTTAATGGAGCAACATTCTTCTGAGTTCCACTCCAAAGTTCCTGCACTAAATCCCCATAGCATTTAGCCATATGACCCTTCATACCAATGGGATTTGTTCTAGAAGTTTAAGAGAAAAATCTATTGTCAAAGATTTTCATAAATCACAATCAAGTAGACAGGGGAATACTACTAATTTTCTCACATTAAAATATCTTTCATTTTTGAAACAATAATATATTCTATAGCCTTTATTTTGTAGTAAATAGAGAGGGGAAATAAGATCAGACAAGATTTTCTCCCTTGTGTAAAGAAAGAAGAGAGTTAGAGGTTACTGGTTTATATCAAAGTTAAAGGCTAAGAAGTCCATAGCTCAAGAAGGATTACCTGTTGAGTTCATAAAGATGTCTCCCTGAGATAAAATACTGTGTCAATGGCTGCGTGTTGCTAACACATTGGATGCTTGAGTTCATGAAGCATGTGTTTCCTAGGTTACTCAGACCCGTTGCTCCTTTTTCTGTGGGAACTGCAACAAACAACATAAGAACTGAAGCTCTGCTACAGTAAAATGCCATAGAATAAACATTACCTATATTCAAAGCAATGATTTTAACAATTTTAATCAGCAAAATGGGGCTAATCTTTCTCCATCCGGTATTTCAACACTAACATCTATAAAATGTTCCATGACATACTTTTTGGCAATCATGAAAACCCCAAGAGCTTTTGTAACTCCGAAGTAACAATTAATTGCTTTAACTCAATATATTCTTAAGGATTCAGACAATTCTTCTGTTCTAGCATAATACCTTTAAAATATAAACATAAGTTAGCTACTTAAGGGTTAAAACAGAAATTGATTTTATAAATCAGTGGCTCAAAGCTCTGGGTTTCCCAACATCAAATTCTACTTCAGAAAAAACAACAACAAAAAAGGAGCCTAATTACTTTTGAATGGAAAAAATAAAAAGTTGTTAATACTTCCAAAGCTGAGAGAATAAAATTTAAAAGGAATAAAAAGGAAATAATAAATGTAAAAGTCATTTCTTAAAAAAAACAAAACACCTCGGGAAATCCATCTAACTTCCTGGGGGCTAAACAAAATATATCTTTCATCTCAGCACAGGACATTCCCTTAAAAACAATAACATTTGGCGAGCTCTGGTGACCTAGGAAACTACACTGCAATCCCAGAGGTGTGCGGTTCAAATCCACCAGATGCTCTGCTGAAAAAGGAGGAACAATCGCCTCCTGTACCAAGTCAGATCCAATGTGACAGTGTTGTTTGTTGTTGTTATGTGCCGTCGAGTCGTTTGCGACTCATAGCGACCCTATGTACAACAGCCCTAAACGCTGCTCTATCCTGTGCCAATCTCATTGCCTCTGACACACCCATCCCGAGTACCCCAGTCACTGAATCAATCCACCTCATAGAGGGTCTTCTCCTGCGCTGTCCCTCTACTCTACCCAGCATGATGTCCCTCTCTAAAGACCTGTCTCTCCTTACAACATGTCCAAAGTATGTCAGACAAAGCCCCAGAATCCTTGCCTCCAAGGAGCAGCCTGGTTTAACCCTCTCTAGGATGAATCTGTTTGTTTTCTTGGCAGTCCATGGTACATTCAATACTCTTCTCCAGCACCACAGCTCAAAGGCGTCAATTCTCCTTCTATCCTCCCTAGTCATTGTCCAACTCTCTGATGTATAACAAGTGACTGCAAAAACCATGGTGTGTATCAGGTGGACCTTAGTCTCCAGAGAGACACTTGTTGCTCTTGACAGTACACACATTAAATAAATAAATAAAATAAAAATAAAAAAACAATAACATTTGCTCAGGATGTGAGGTGGTCTTGCCTAGAGCCCTTCATACTAGCTCAGCTAATTTGTATGACTACAGAGAAGTTAAGCAGAGTCTGAAGACAATCAAATGCTAATCAGAGGAATTTATGTACCACAAGCTGTGATACAAAACAACAGAATGCTAGAAAATAAAACGAAAGTTTCGGATTATGTGTTGTAATTTAGAAACAGTCCTGAACACTATTAATGTGATCCTTCATTTCTACATAGTTATCATTAAAACAAACAAACAAACAAAAACACTAGAGACTCACCCTTGTGCCTATCTATTTTACTGCTGTTTGCTATAAAGGACATCTCTTCAGGCCAACTCATGTCTTTGTTGCGAACTAGAAAGACAGAGATAGAATGTATTAATAATTTCGCATATTCCTTTTCCTTGTGTATAACAAATTCATTTTATTTGACAGCTTCTGTTAAAAAAAAAAGAGAAAAAAAAGTTCTTAGAAACAGAAAAAAATGAATATTTGGAACTGATGCTAAGACCATTTCTACCCTTTATAGTAAGGATTTTAGTGTCATCTGATCAGAATTAACTCAAATGAAAATTTTACACAGCCCTTATTAAAAGTAATTAAAGCAGACATAATGGAATTTTCTAAATGTAAAACATTAGAAATAATAACTTGTTCTTAAATTATGGCAATTGTCAGAATATTCATCTGAACACAGAGTAGCAATGTTTCTATGACTCTTAACGAGAAAAGATACGACTTTGAGTTTTCAATTATATGTGTGTGCAAGTGTACATTATTTTTAAAGAAACAAGCAGATCTGTTGGTGAGTAGCCGGTGTTGATGACTAATAAAACTTGTGGCATTTATTTTGTAAGCAACCTAGACTCCTTTATACTTAAGAGTCAGCTTGAAAATTTTAAAATGTAAAAAAAAAAAAAAAGAAAATTTTAAAATGTGAATTAACTTGTTTTCACCCACTATTCCCATCATTTGTCAATTAGTGAATGCAGACAAAATGTTATTAGTCATGCAACAAAAGGGAAAAAAACTAAGGATGCGAAAATATTATTGAAGTTTATGCATTTAAAGAATAGTAACAGTAAATTGTCCTTTTAAAGGCAATTTAAATAGCATACAAGACTGCTGAGGTTTAATGGGTTTTCTCTGACATGAGAAACCTGATGACCAAAATAAGTGCCCTGATTACAGTTGTTGAAAACTATCTGTTACCAGCAATGGCATCAGCTCAGTCACAATCAACAGCGAAATTAAATAAAAGGGTAAGAGTTGATAAGGGAAAGTTAATATTTATTCGTTAGCCACTAAATCTTTAAGTTCTTCCTCTAAAAAAATCTAGTACAGGAGCAGGCCTCCAACTTGTACCTTCAATTACCAAATGCTGCTCATCCTGGATTTTCAAATATTCCAGTTTATGATCCTCATCATCTAGAAGGGTAAGGTAATTCTGTGGAGGAGATTGTTGTGTTAATTTATAAGTAAATGTAAAACAAACAATAAAATAAAATTTAATGATAAAAACATCCGTGTAGATATATAATTTGTTATTGAGAAATACTTCTAAGTAAGGTCTTAACAGAAGAGAAAAACAATAAACACTTCATAAACATATACGCTAAGATCTTAAAATCAAAGTTATAAGGAAGTCATCACATATCAAATAAAAATTCATTAACATGTACATTTAAAAAAAATGTACATTTTAGAAAGAGCTCGTAGAAAAGAAATTTTCTTTAGTAACTAGTATGAAATTCAGTTCAATGTGTAGAATAGAACTGAGAATTGAGAATGTCATACAGCAGAATTATATGGTTTTTATTGATATTCATTTTAAGCGGTTACAGATTAATTTACTTGATTCTCATAAATACTCTGAAGTAGAAACTGGCATTTCCCACATATTACCCATGAGGAAATTTAGGTATATAAAGATTAAGTGGCTAGTTCTTGTGTAGGCAATTAACAAACCGCAGACTTAGAACTTGTACTTTGGCTCTTGGAGCTATTGTCTTCACTATTACACTATACTGATTCTTACTGGTAAGTCAAGGTAAATTGTAAGAAATAAGGAAAGAGAGAAGGAGTTAAAACTACTCTCAAGCTGCGGTATATTCACACAATGGAATACTATGCTGCATTGAAAAACAAGGAACTAAAAAAAAAAAAAAAGAAAAACAAGGAACTCATTCAATATTATTCAAAATGGGTGAGCCTGGAGGACATTATGCTGAGTGAAATATCTCAGTCGCAAAAGGACAAATATTGCATAGTGCCACTGCAGTAAAATGGGACTGATACCAGGGTGGGGGTAAGACTGAGAAAAACTGGATAAATTGTGTATACTGCACTGAAACAGGTGAGGGACTGAATAATTTAAAAGCGATGTATGATAGGGTATTATGGTTTATCACAAGAGTCCACAATTAAGGTTGCATAGTGGAATGTACTTGGGGTGGTGGGAGGGGTGTGGGGGGCTTGTGTACCAGGGAGGGAGTCTTTCTTTTACTTTTGAAAGAGAGGAGCGAACTGGGGGGCGGTGGGAGAGGGCTGGGCGGGGAGAGAAGCACAGCAATGAATGAATGGAAATCCAAATTCTCTGTAAATGTTCATTAAAATTATTAAAAAAAAATTAAAAAAACAAACAAAACCCCCTACTCTCATAATTGCTTGATTTTAAGAATAAAAGCTAAATTGAATATACTAGAATAATATATATTAGTAAATTAACAGCTTTTTTTTTTTTTTTAAGAAAATGGAAGACAGGTCAGAAGATGGAAGGCAGAAATTTTTCAGTACTTATATTTTTTAAATAAAATTTTTATTTTATACTGGTTTACTTACAAAATTCGTATACATTATTTTTCATACCAGATCTTTCCCATTTCCTTTACCCATCAAATGTATGACCCTATGATTACCCTCCTATTTCTACCCTCCCCCCACAGTATATATTTTTATACTGTTTGAATTTTTGCAACAAAGGCACAAATTGCCAGAAAACAAATTAAAAATAAAGTAAAAAAAAAGAAAAATAAGTGCTGTTAGCATCTTACCTCACTGTTGTACAACCACAGGCGCATATCTTCCTCTTTGATGCGCAGCCTCTGAGACAGATATTCGTGAATTTCCTTGATGGTCTGCATTCGACTGAAACAGCCTGTATAGGCTAACACGCGCTTTAAAGGAGCATTCGGAGAAGGTACATTCCCTATGGTCATAGTAATCACAGTAAGGAGAAAGGAAGAGGTACAAAATAATGCACTTCTTTCCACAATGAAGACTATATTATTCTATATTATTTTAGGAAGTAATGACAAAATAGAAGAATGATAGATTTAATCATTTTATAAATATAAGAGCACCATAAAGCTTTAAAATAAAATCAGGTGACCTAAGTTTCTTTAAGGTGGAAGGAAAAGCAACAAAAACCCAAAGGGCCAAATAATGAATTTAGATCCATAGAGGGAAGGGTATATATATTAGCAAATGCCAATGACTGGTACTGTAAACTGGTTGTACACAATTGAGTTAACACTCAAAAATGAAATAAAATTTAGTTTGGGACTGGAAAAGAGAAAACAGGATTAGATTTTCATTTCAGTGAGATAATTGGTTCTCTTGATTTACTTTCTTGAAAGAAACTAAAAGTTACTAAGATCATCGCTCTAAATCATTAAATGGCCCAAGTGCCTGGCACACTGACATAACAACACAAGAAAGAAAATTTTACTTTTTAATTCTAAATAGGGATAGACTCCAGTTGGGTAAATAGAAACTTAAAAGTGAACTTATGAAGTGAAGCTTCTTATGACAAAACCCTCCCAACTCCCAAAAACCAACACAAATCCCATAAAACTCTACTGAAAGAGTATGAGAGAGGGATAAGACATCCTCATTGCCGTCTGCACAGTAATATGATAGCAGGCATAAACCTGAATTCCAAAATGGTTTGTTGTTGCCTGAATTATGTTCTCCATGAAGTAAATGCTAACCTCTGGGCCCCAGTTATAATCCCACTAGGGAATGGGTTGTCTTTGTTATGGTGATGAGGCAGGATCAGCATAAAGTGCATTTTGCATCAGTATCTTCTGATATAGAAAAAAAATTAAAAAGCAAGCAAACAGAGAATGAGAGTAAAGATAGGTGCCAAGTCACATGGAGGTCTCCAAGGAACAAGGATGCAGAAGTTCAGGAGAAGAGGATTTCCTCCCAGGGTCAACAGAGACAAAAAGCCTTTCCCTACAGTTGATGGTCTCAATTTAAAAACAGTGAGAAAATTTTCTAATGGTTAAAGCCACTTCTGGCAGCACAAGATAATTAGGACAGAATTTGATAGGAAGTAGGGGTGGTGGAGTAGGTGGTTGATATATTCCACACAGAATCCAGAAAGTTAGACCAACACCCTAAGTCTGAAGGGAGAGGTCACTGTCCAGCTGTTATTGTCCCCAAAGGATTACTTTCAACTCTTGAGAGGTACATAATTTGTTCTGCTGAACGTTGGACTTGCTTGTTGGCTGTTAATCTCTTCTTTATTTTCTCTAGTTTCTCCCACATGTAATGGAAATATCTATGTTATGCTTGTTTCACTACTGTATGTTTTTTGAAATTATGGAATGCTTCATGAATTTGTGTGTCATCCTTGTGCAGGGGCCATGCTAACTTTCTTTCTATCATTCCAATTTTAGTCTATGTGCTGCTGAAGTGAGCACTCACTATTGCACTTTAAAAGCTGGCCATTTATAGTTTAAATTTCACAGGTGATCTTGATCCAGGAAAGAATACCCTGAAGTCCCACTCATATGTGATTTAAATGATTCAGTAGATAAGCTTTTTGATTTAGAATTGATATTTTCCCCCTTCATAATTATGGGGTTTATTAGGGTTGTTATTCCTTGGTGCCGTTGAGTCAAGAACAATTCACAGCAACCCAATGATCCGTACCCTGCCCTATCTTGTGCCATTCTCACCATCTCTGTCACAACAGAGCCCATCGTTAGTCATTGTGCCAACCTCTCCATTTTTCCAAGCATGATGTCTATACAGAGCATCAGACTGTGCTGTAATCCTGAAGGTGTAATCCACCAGATGTTCTGATGGAGAAGGAGTATCTGTGCCCTTTGGATGTGACTCGATGGTACACAACAAGGGGGGAAATAGCACTGGATTGTCCTAACAACAAGACCAAAGTATGTGAGATGAAGTTTCACTGTGCTTCTAAGGAGCACGCTGGCTGCACTTTCTCCAAGATATTTTTGTTTCTTCTTTTGATAGTCCATGGGATGCTCAGTTCTTTTTTCTGTCACCTTTTTTTCACTGTCCAACTCTCAGATGCATAGCAAGTAATTGAAAAGACCATGGCTTGGATCACACACACCCTTAGATAGTATTTTTTTTTAAATTTTTTTATTTTTGTGTGTGAGTGTACCGTCAAATCAGATCTGACTGGTATAGGAGGAGATTGCCCCTCCTTCCCCGGCAGAGCATCTGGTGGATTTGAACTGTGAGCCTCTGGGATTGTATTTGCAGCTCCTTGCCACTAGGCCACCAGAGCTCCCCTCTTAGATAGTATTTAACAAATAAAAATTCAGGTCAGAAACACTAAGGATATACTTGTTCAATCAGATAGTCTCTGCTCAGATGTGCTTGCAGGTTAGCCTCTCTGACTTCGCAGCTCTGACCTCAGCTCTATTCAGAAAAGTGATACAAAGCTTTTTTTGCTCTTATAGTCAATTATATGCCATCCTGACTCCACCAGTAAGTGTATGCCCAAAGACGTTTGGTTCTAGAGCTATACGCTCTGGTATAATCAGCGCAGCACTGTCAAATACCAGTCTCTGGTTCTTTGCCACAGCTATTGCTACCTGCGCTGTTACATCTTGGTCTTATGCAGAAATATGACCCAAAAGGGACACTACACTGTCTACTTCTTCCTTGGTAGTAATAAAGTGTCCTTAAATTCAGAGTTGATTTAAAACTCTTAGGATGATAAAATGAGGGTCAATAATGTGTTTTGCATGTGGGGAGGACATGAATTGGGAGGGCAAAGGGTAGAATGCTATGTACTTAATTATGTCCTCCAGAACATGTGCTATAAATCCTAACTTTTATCTATGTCTGTGGGTATGATTCCATTTGATTATGGGTTGTCCTTGTCATCTTGATGAAGAAGGATTTCTGCAGGAGTGTCTTGATTCAATATTTTTAAAATACTAGTTTATTTACAAAATTTGAATACATTGTTTTTGAGAACAGAATCTTTTTTGAGATATAAAGAAAGATGAAATGTAAATTATCAAGTAGAGAAGAGAAGGCAGATGCCAAGACACAGGGAGATCTCCAAGGAATAAGGGAGCAGAAGTAGAAGAGACAAGGACATTTCTTCAGAGCCAAGAAACAGAAAGCCTCCCTCTGGAGCTCTAATTTTAAGTACTGCTAGCTTCCTAAATTGTGGGTTAGTGGTAAGAAACTGCAGTGTTAACCCTAAGGCACACAGTTTGAATCAGCTGATCCATGGGAAAAAGACAGGCAATCTCCCCCTGTGGGATTTAAAGCCTCTGAAAACACACTGGAGGGTCGGCTAGGAGTTGGATCTAGCTCAATAGTACATAACAACAACAAATAGTGAGAAAAAAAAATATTTTTTTTGTTTGTTAAAGCCACCCATGGTGGTATTCTGTTGTGGGAAAAACACAAGGTAGAAACTTAAAGAGTAGGCACATTAAGGATAAAGAGTGACAAGGGTAGAAAGAATATAGCAATTCTAGACATAATTTAAAAGAAGAGGAAGATGAATTAACACAAGATGATATAAATGAAGACAGGTGTTAAAAAACTTAACTAAACCCTGGCTTAACTATTTCCTATAGACCCAATGCCATAAAGTTGATTCTGACTCCTAGTATGACAAGGTGGAACTGCCCAAAGGGTTTCCAAAGGGATAAAGCAGACTGTTTCATTTTTCTCCCTCAGAGACTGGTGGGTTTGAACTGTTGGCTTTTTGGTTAGCAGTAATGTACTTTTAACCGCTGCACTACCAGGGCTCCTTCCTGATTCAAAAGTACAAAACAAGTAGTTCAGACACAAGCTGTAGCATAAAATGGTCAGCTCTACTTGTGCAACAGTACCTTTTTCTCCCTTAGCAATTCAAAACAAAAATATAAATTTAACATATCAGTACCATCCTGTTCAGTGGTCATTGCTAGCCTCTCTCCTCCATTAAATGTGCTTTTAATCAGCTTTTTCCTATAAAACAAGGTGGGTGAAAGTAGTGGCATCATCTATTGTTTTCCAGAATGTCTATAAAGAAGTCACTCATCAAAGACAGGCTGAAAAATCATCTAAGAACAATACCTTCTATTGCCTATTTGTAGAAAGAGTAACTGTGGTAAGGTATATATTATCTACCACTTTAAAAGAAATGAAAATGTTTTACAGTAAATAGCTTTAAATAAATGAAGCAATGAGGAAGAACACCACTATATTATGGCATAATAAACCCAAACCATGTACAATTTTTAATCACAGAGCAAAGCAAATCTTTCACAATCAGCAAGCAAAGGATAATTCCTTTAAGAAAACAAAAGAGCAGATTTCTCAAAATATAAATCAGAGGATTAGTTATAAGATTACAGCAAGAAAGCATATTTTTGTAAACTTCAAATTGATTAATGATTGATTTCACAACTAATTAGTAAGGAATGAAATTTCAAATTAAGAACAAATTTGGCATATTGAAACTATCCAGTTCTAGGATTCAGAAGCAAATGCAAATAGAGCATCCATATCATTCTATTGTTCTAAGCCGCATATGAAAAATGTGTTTAAGTTCTAGAGAGTTTGTATAGCATAGCTCATTAAGCAGGCAGCCACTTACTATACACAAATTTGTGCTTGCAAACAGCACCAACAAATCTAGTGGAATTTACAGAAGCAGCAAAAATCTAGGATCAGCACAAGAGCTACAAAGAATACTTACTACAAGCGCAACACTACATCTTGCCTTTCATGCTATCTTTCGAAGACACTTTATTTAAGGGGAATTAAATTAATAATGTTTGATAGAGATTCTATTTCACTTACATAATTTTATTGGTTTCTTCATTTGGAAATTTCCCACAAAGTATGTTACAGAAAGGGCACTGCTTTGCTATAATTGTTACTAAATTATACATGAAAGAATTTTTATCCAATTATAACCATTAAGAAAGCTATAAAAAGAACTCTATTCATTTTCAAAGGAGAGATGATACTTAAGGGTTGGCATACTAAATTATATTAATTATAATACTATATTGGCATTGTTAACCACAAAGTCTGAGACTGCATAAATGGATGAACTCATTATTTACCTATAAGGAAAAATATCAAATATTTGCAAGGCAAAAGCATAGAGCATGTTTTGCCCAAGAATAATATTTACCTTATGGATAAATTAAAGGGGAACTTTTTGCATGTTTTACAGTAAAAAGGAAACTTAATTACATGCCATTTTGATTGGCTTCGTGTTTTTCTAATCAAAGGTATCCCTTTCATTTTAGAAAAGATACTCTGATTTATAAATCTGTCTTTTTTTTATGCTTCCTTCAACCTAGCATGAGAAATTGATTACATTTTGAAAACGAATTCCCTAAAATTGACAGCTATCTTCTGTTACCCTTCATTACCACTTTCTGAACAGGCTTTAGAGTAAGATAATTTACCAAAGTTTTGCTTTCCTTAGGCAAGTTATTCATCAGTATGAAAGTAAGCAGGAGGCCACGAGCACAGTGACTTATTTTAACTAAGGATGAGATGATCCACTTCATCCTTTGTAGTCCCAGATGACATTATCAATGGGATTACTTCTTAGGAATTCCAGTGGAATTAGATAGACAACTAGCGGACTACAACACTGAACAGCAAATGATTTACAATTTGTCTCAAAGAAAGTATGTAAAATTATTTTATTTTATCTGCTTGTCTAGAAACCAGAAAATAAATAAATTCCAGGGTTGCAAAAGTAACTTTGCACTTGCTTCTTTCTCAGCTAGTCTTGTGCATGACCATAGATCTCAGCGCCCGTGACTTCACGATTCTGCTTGAAAGCAGATTGGAATGGGTACTAGTACAGTGGCACCAGACTGTCAGCAACTTTTACTTTTTTTAAGGAAATGCATGGTATTCTTGCTGCATTCTTAAGTTACCTCTTGGTAAATGCTGAGGAAACATTCTCAGGCTCATCATACCCATATTCACCCAGATGTTAGACTGCTGTGTCCGAGTGGCAGGCTGCTGCCTCAGGAATAGTAGATAGCGAGGAAATAATTCCAGCTCTGGGACGTCTGTCTTGCTATTCTTAATCACCTGGTGTTTTAAAAAAGAAAAATATATTACCCTAAAGGGTAAAAAAGCTTTGAATTTTTTTCTTCTTAAATTTTGAACTGTATCCTTAAAATGTTCAGCAGTTTCACTACCTATATTTCAGCAGATCACTTATATTCAGAGATTTCAGTTACATGGGTTTGAATACTCTTGATGAGGATTCATATCTCAAGATTAGAATTTTGTTAAAAATGTTCTTCCTTTCATTTAGAATCTAATAACACTATCAACACACCTTAAACATCCATAAGTCTATTATTCTTAAATCCTATCTCTTTTTTACTTCTATATATTTCACATGTCTGGATTATTGTCTCTTTAAGAAGAAATTCCTAGTACTAGAATTACATGCAAAATGTATGTAAGTATTTATGTCCTACTTTCATCCCATAATGTAGGAATTTACAATACTTTCAATAATTTTTAAGTGTGTCACTGTCATAAAACCTTATCAAAGAATGTTTGTAAACATTTCTATTTGTTTAAGATATTAAAAAAGGAGTAAAAATGTACTTAAATTTTTATTTCTTATTAAATACGGAGCTCTGGTGACCTAGTGGCAAGAAGTTGTGCTGTAATCCCCGAAGGTAAGCAGTTTGAGTCCACCAGCTGCTCTGCAGAAGAAAGTTGGGCAATCTCCTCCTGTGCCATTAACTGCCTCTGAAAATCCACTAGAGGGTCAGCTATGGGTTGGTTCTGACTCAGTGGCACATAACAACAACAACAACAACTTTAGTTATGAGGTTAAAAATGTTTCCTTATTTAATCAAACTTAATATTGATTTTCAAAACTCTACTCACTATTTATATTCTTTGTGTATCTGTGAATGATTGAAACAACAATGAATATGCAAAACTAAGGTTTACATTGTTAGAACAAGATTTTCCCATAAGTGACTGCTTTCTAGTCCACAGACAAAACAATTACAAAATAATGCATTATGAGTTTGGAAAAGTAGCATTATAAATTTAGAATTAAAAAAGAATAGTTAAGTTAACAACTCTTTAAAACTGAAAATCATACCTAATCTTCAAGAACCTCAATTGAAAAAAAAAAAGAACCTCAATTGATCAGACAGTTACTTTATTTTCCTTGGAAATAATTTTTTTCTGCCAGAGAATATATTTTAATAGTAAGAAGGAGAGAATATTTTTTAAAAGTAAGAGGAAATTGTAGAGAAACAAATGAAAAGAGCTACAAATCTCTTAAAAGTATTCTGCACATTCCAATATCCTAAGTTATGGTCCTTGAAAGCCTCCATATGGGAGCTTTATCAACTCTTAATTAAGTGTAAGCAGCAAAAGGAGCTCTCTTCTAAGCCCACTGGAAGAAATAAAACCTGTTTATCTTTTTTCAATAGGCACCGATAGCTGCCAAGCCAACATTAACTTCTTACGATTCCATCTTAAGTGTGATTTTGGGAAAGCTTAATAACTTAGCATTTGTAGCTGTTAGATTATATAACAGTATAAGAATACAAGCTAATAATTAAGTATTACATTTTTCCATATAACAAGGAATCTTATGAACCAAATTACAGTTGAAGGTTGATTATTATGACTTATGACTTAAATATATCACGTTGTGTGTGTGTAGGAAATTTCTAGAGCCAATGAACACAGACCTTAAGTGATTTCTAGTGATCTCTAAAATAAGCATAATAATCTAAAAGCAACATCAAAGTTATACACTTAAGGCTTTATCAGACTTCGACATTTTTAGAAGTTATCTAATTTACAATATCTAATTTATGTAAAAATACTGGATTAATAAAGCTACAGCTAAGATATTTTATATAAAAGAAAGTTGTTGTGGTGTTTTTTTTTTAAATTTTATTATTTTTTTTTATGTGTACCATCAAATCGAATTGGACTGGTACAGGAGATTGTCCCTCCTTCTCCAGCAGAGCATCTGGTGGATTTGAATGGTGCGCCTCCGGGATTGCAATGCATCTTGCCACTAGGCCATCAGATGTACTAAAAAAAATATTTTGCTACACTGACAATGTGAAAAAGTGAAGCTGGAGGGTGTTGAGTCTTCATGCTTATTGTATAAGCACAACAAATGATTCTGTATAGTTAACTTACCAGTATTTTAACATCAGATACTCCAAGTCATAATGATTTTGAGCATTTTACTCTCAATGAGGCATCCTAGTCACAGTAACAATCAGAATTCACCAAGGGTGAAATCCTTTAGTCCTAAGTTGTCCACTTTTACTATCTCCTTCAAAGTGACAAACTGCAAAAAGTCAAAGTAATTGTGGTTGAGATTGAGAGTGTACCACTCTCCCATATTCATTGAGGCGTTTTTGCAAGCCCCAGTCCTTCATTATTCTAGAAAACATCTGTGTTTATGTGAATGACTCATTTAATAGCCCAGTCTCTTAATTCCTTGACTTTTAGTCCAGAGACTATTCTCTGCACTCTATCTTAGTCATTTACTCCCACAGACACATTAGTGTATAGATGGTGCCTAATACACGCTCAATAAATGGTTAATGAATGAACAAATAAACAAATGTGACCTGCTCATGGTGAGGAATCAATTCTCACTCATAAAGATTGTATGGGACAGAGTAGAACTTCTACATGGGGTCTCCAAGGCTATAAATTTATCTTGAAACACACTGCCATCTTTTTCTCTTACAGAATGGACTGTTGTGTGGTAAAGAGTCTGAACCAGCTCACAGCTAATCCTCTAGTAATTATTTTCAGAAGTTGTACATTAAACAGGAGTAGACTGCCTATCTTTCTCCCTCAGAGCAAATGGTGGATTTGAACCACCTGCCTCTTTTGGGTTGGCAGCATAAGTCCTTAGCTACTATGTTAACAGAGCTACCTTATAGAGTGTACTAGTGGGGTAAAAATGCTGAACTTCTGGTTTCAGTGAAGTGCCAACAGGCTTCCTGAAAAATGTAAAGGAATTTAAAATAATTTGAAGAGGTACTGAGTACGTATTACTTATTATATGGTAAGATACAATTTTTAAATAGTAAAAATCATATAGAAAAGTAAAGATCATAGCAACGACTATCCTAGATGTAATTGTAAAATATGAAGCATCATTGATTATACTTACAGGTCTCGGTAAAGCCAGGTTTGCGCCATACCAATGATAAAGTGCTCGCCACACAGGTTCTGGAACCATTTCATAATCTCGTCCATGGATTAGCTGTGGAGTTCGTTTCAATCGTCCTCCTTCTAGTGTTAATGACGTAGCCTTTGAAAGAATGCAATCTAAGTATTAGCATTTTTTAACAAAGATGCTATGCACATGAGAAAGCATATGTAACTAATTAGTTGCACATTATCAGAAGAAAGCAATTTTCAAAAGAGATACTTTTTACTTTGAAAGTAAATTATATAAGAGAGGAAACTAAAGGCAAATCAGTTGGAAAAAACCAGAAAATACTAAAAATTTAAAAATACACCTTTCCTGGCAAGCTCTGGTGGCCTAGTGGCAAGAAGCTGCACTGCAATCCTAAAGATGTGAGGTTCAAATCCACCAGATGCTCTGCTGAAGAAGGAGGGACAATCTCCTCCTGTACCAGTCAGATCTGATTTGACGGTACACACACATAAAAAAAAAAAACTAATAAAAATAAAAAAAAAAATACACAAATACACCTTTCCTTATTTATCAACATGATAAATCCAGGTCATTATGTGGAAATTAGTGTTATGTGAAAATGGAGGATGAGACCATCATGTTGTTACTTCCAAATGATATCACGCACAGCTGAGAATTATAGCCCACCCCAGTCAACACAAGCTTTAACATCACAGTCACTGTTATTCTAGCCACATATTCTGACATTCTTGGCATTTGTTACTGCCAGATGTACAGCATTAATGTGAAAAATGGTCACTGAGGTGATTTTTAACTGTTGTTGTAAATGTGAAATGGAAGGTCAAGAGTTGGAAAGGTAAGAGAGAAACCACATTTTTACAGCTGCTGTATTTTTAAGGACCACTGGTGTTATGTGCCATCAAATAAGAACCAACAACTCACAGTTGGAACTGACGACTCATTGGAACCAACTCAAAGGGTCTTCCAGGAGGTTTTCAGAGGCTACAAATGGCATGTGTGGAGACTGCCAGCTGGTGGACTGGAACCTCATGCCCTTGTGTTGGCAATGCACCTCTTTACCATTAGGCCATCAGAGCTCCTACTTCTATATGTGCACTCAATGACAAATTATTCTTACAGAAATGTACTATGCAAAAGATTTTCCCCTAACAGGTTAAATGAGTTACTAAGTTTTTGCTGTGTGTAAACCATGGGATTAAAATTATTTGGAAATTTAAAAAGAATTATTTTAATATGTATGTCAAATTACTTACCTTTACTGGTTCTTGAGTTACTAATGGTTGGTTATCAATAGCCCCTGGTTTCTGTGGATTGAGGTGCAGCAAAATATTCCCATTGGATCCTAGTAAACACTGGTTGTTATTGTCAGAACTGTTATGTTGTCGAGCAAAGCACATATCTGTCCCTGGTGTAGCAGAATACAGAAGGCCTATAAAGAAAAAAAAGACTAGAATCTCTTATTTTTAGTTATTATATATAAATCACTTTGAAGATAAGAACTACTAAAGTTCCATAATTAGACTGGCATGTCAATTGTTCTGTTGGCATGTCAGTTTATTTTCGGATTCTGATAAATATGTAGAAGGTAGGGAATACAATGTATTTCATTCTGGACAATATCTAGCATGGTATTAGACAGAATAAAGGATTTTAATAGTTACCAAATAAACATTTGGCCACCCAACCAGAACTGACCCTGACAAAGCCTCACAGGAGGGAAGTCATACCATTGCCAGCAGTTTCTGAGGCTTCAGATGCAGTAGAAATGTTGTCTGAAAATTTCTCTTCTGTATTGTTCTGGTAACTGAGACTGCTACCTCCCAGTCTATCTTCATTCTGCTCCAAAGCATGTAGCGCTGTTCCAAATGAGTATTTTCTTCCATTCATAACAGATGACGGCTCAATTACAACAGGGTTGGTGTCCTAACATTCATGAAGCCAGAGAATAAAAAGCAAAACTTAATAGTTCAATAATATAGCTTTCAAAAATGAACTTTATATATTATTTCTAATCTTGCTGTTGTTGGCTCTAGCCATTTTAGAATATAACTAAATTATAATCCCTTTAAAGGAAAAGTACAAATATATTAAAAATATATTAATAAGATAAATTGAAAATGGATTATGAAGGCCTCTACTGTCACATAAATAACAGATTTATTCTGCTGAAAATAGGAAACTATGGAATACTTTTGATATTAAAAGGGTAAATAATATTCCTTATCCCAACTCAGTTTGTCCAACTGATCTGCCTTTTGTCTTTCTCTCAGTTTACTTCCGAAGCAAAAGAAAAACACCCCCCCACTTTTAAAATTTTATATTAAAAGGGTAAGAAAGAAAGAATGAAAAATTAGAGTCATTGTAGAAGACCACAAAAGATATTAAGACAATAAAGACACTCAGAAATCTACCACTTATCAGATTTGGAGAAAAATTCATCAACAACCTGCATTAAGCAGATGACCAATCCTGGCTTACTAAAAGCAAAGACAACTTGAAACACCTGCTGCAGAAGAGAAAATACTACAGCCTTCAATATGGATTCCATCTCAAGATCAAAAAACAAAAGAAACCTCACCCTTGGATTAATAGGCAACATTGTGATAGATGAAGAAAAAAGTAAAGTGGCCAGTAATTTAATTTTGCTTGGATCTACAATCAACATCCAACTGTGTTGATTGATGCAGGACAGGATAAGGTTCAGATTTGTTTGCTAACAGTTTCAGGGAGCTGTAGTTGACTCAATGGCACCTTACAACAATAAAATAGCTACTATTCTGAACTATATATTCTCTTACTTCTTGAGATTGGAAAGATACACATGAAAGTAAAATCTATGTGGAGCAGAGTATATAGTTAAGAGTTATAGGACACCTGAGCACCAGAACACAATGAGATCCTGCAAGACTCTAGGAAAAGTAAATAAAAAAACTGCTGGTCTCAAAAACCAAAACAAAAACCAAAACATAGTTATGGGCATGGCTATGGACCTGAATCCTACCTTCACTATAGACCAATTATGTGAACTTGCACAACAACTAAGCTATTGAGCCTCAGTTTCTTCATGGGTAAAAAAAGATGATAGATAGATAGATAGATAGATAGATAGATAGATAGATAGACAGACAGATAGATAGATAGCAGAAATGTGGGCAGTGCTGAGAGGAAGTTCTCTCTACTGTCTGTATAGTTTTTCTATAAACTTTAAGCTACTCTTAAAAATCTATTGTTAAGAAAAATAAAGAGAAATTAAGAAGTGTTACAATCAACATATTAGCACCAAACTGACACTCATTGCTTGAAATGGTCAAAGAATTAAAGAGAATGGAGAATACCCTTTCACCGTGAATTAGGGTTACTTAATACCTAAGATAATCTGATACTTTCCCCACACCTTTAAGAATGTTAAAAATTAACAAATGATGCTAACAATTGTAATAAATTTGTATACTTTTTAATTATTTGGATTTTTCATCATAAGCTCTACTGCAATTGAAAATTTTAAATCCATTCAAGTTAACTGGTATGTGGAAAAGGCTAGATTTTATTCTTAATCTTCTTGCTGCTTTTTCAATTAAGGGCATTAACTTCTATTCAGAACTGATTTAAAAAAAATTTTTTTTTAATTGTATTATTTTTACATGTACCATCAAATCAGATCTGACTGGACAGGAGGAGATTGCCCCCTCCTTCTCCAGCAGAGCATCTGGTGGATTTGAACCACGGAGCTCTGGGATTGCAGAGCAGCGTCTTGCCACTAGGCCACCAGAGCTCCCTTCAGAACTGATTTTTAAGGGGTCCAGCGATAGACAGTATCTACCATGTTTATAAATAAGTGAGGAGAAAATATCTAGTGATTTGTTTATAGCAACAATGCTGATACCAGTCTGATAGTAAATGACAGGGTTGGCACCCTAATCTAGGACACCTGGCTCCAAAGTTCAGATGTAGCACCACCACTCTAAGTTGGTTCCTCAGAGTGAATAGTATATTCTTACTGAGTACTTAGTATATGCCAGATAAGTGTTCCAAAACAACATTAATATGTATCAGTTCACTTATCTGCATAGCTCTCTAGGAGGTAGTACACTATTATTAACAGGCAGAGAAAAAAGCAAGGTCTAGAATGGTACTTGGGGGTGGAGGGAAAGCTATTCACATTGAAAAGAGGGCTTCTCCTTCCTTGTCTTCTATATGAATGGGAACACTAACCTCAGGTTTATGTCGCAGTTAGCTAGCGTTCACCTTCATGCTAGTCAATAATACTGTATTACAGAATGGGGAGAATATAGGACTCTTAAGAGAGATTTCTCTCTCCCTAATTCTGTTAATGCACAGAAGGGCCATCATTGGCATGAACAAACACAACTGAGGTTCCTGGCTATGCATTTCTACCTGTTCATAAGGTATGCTGCTGCTGTTGCTGATTATCAAATCGCGCACAACTCATAGCGACTCCATGAACAGAAGTCGTTTCTCCAAGTTCATAGAGCTTCTATAGGCATGTGGTTTATGAAGTGGATGCTACTCCTGCATCCAAACCTGTTACAATTGGGAGCTCAAACACTGTCCACATTAGGAAACCATTATGGCATTTCACAACCCAATGGCACAAGATTCAGCATTACAGCAAACCAGATTACCTCAGTACAGGAAATCTGGAAAAGAGTGATGTATAAAGTAGAAGAATGCACCTCCAAAATATAACAACACAAGTCTCAGTTATTAGTAGGTAAGTATCATCAGGTAGAATATGATCCATAGCAACCCTATGAAAAAAAAAGACCTGAACTCTTTTCTACAATTAACATTATTTCTTTATACTGATAGTTTATAGTTTCCAGAGGCATCTAGTTTTCATAAGGGATATGTTGCTAAAAAATGACTTCTGGCATTCTTTAAAGAATTAAAGCCCAAGTTAGGCAATTTGTTGAGTCTGTAGCCAGAAAAACATTAATAACCCCTCTTTCTAAGGCCAAAACAAAAAAATAAAATAAATCCTAAGTGTGTCCCAAAACTGACTATGGTACTTTACCCCAATATATCATATTCTATTTACAATGTCATTTGGAGAAGGACATCATGCTTCGGAGGGTGGAGGGACAGTGCAGGAGGGGAAGACCTTCTATGAGGTGGACTGATTCAGTGACTAGGATAATTGGGGTGGGGGTGTTGGAGACAGTGAGATTGGCACAGGACAGAGCGGTGTTTAGGGCTGATGTATATAGAGTCACTATAAGTCGTAGGCGACTCAATGGCACATAACAACAACAACAACAATAACATTTACAATGTTCTTTAAGTTATTTGTCACTAGGGAGATCACATCGTTGTTGTTAGATACCACTGAGTTGGGCAATGCTTGCAGTAACCCTATGAACAAACCTGAACTCTGTCTTATCCTGTGCCATCTTCATCATCTCTGCCACATTGAAGTCCACTGAGGTAGTCACTGTGTTAACCCATCTTGCATTAGAGATCACATTTTGCACTTAACAGTTGTTACATATGAAAACAGATTGTTAAAAGTAAGAAGAAGGTATATAATAGAAACAGCCCATTTACCAACAAGCTTTTTAATAAATAATAAAATTTTGATAATATGCAATGACAGAAAAAGATATATAAAAAATCTGAACCAAATCATTACAATTTTGGCCAGCAGTCATTTGGTAAAAAACAATGAGTATGTATGTCAATTGATTGCCTAGGAAAAAAGTTATTTGATTACAGGAATTACTTTTTTTTTTAGTTTTCTAAGTGGAGAAAAAGGTCCATTTATTAAGTCCCCAGAATACTTTAGAAATTCTGAACTAATGTCAGTTCAGAACATCTTTAATAGTTTTCATGGAAAAAGTGGGATTAAAGATAAAGAACTTTAAACTTAGTCCATTTGGTTTGTCTTGCATGTTCAAGTAGTTTTTTCACCCAGAATTTGGTTTCTCACATGTAAAATGGGTTTATCATCACCTATTTCCACCACAGAGAATCCCTTTCACACAGAGTTGTCACAAAGGAGGAAATTCATATATCAAAGTGTAATCACAGAGCCTGTTTCACAAACATCAAACACTCCATTTCCTTCTCCTTTAATAAAACTTTACCTATAATGGACACATTATTAAAGGTCATATAATCAATGAAGCTATAAAAAATCCCATGAAAACTGTAGATAAACTGGAATCTCACTTACATATTTGACATATTCTTTCCATTGCTGCCACCACTGCATAGAGATGATGAACCAATTATGTCCTGGTTGCAGACCATACCTGCTCTCGCGTTCTAACCATCCTCTGTACATATAAAAGAATGGCAGTATGTCAGAAGATAATAATGTCAGCTGGACACAGGAGAACAAATAATAATGACTGTCACTTAGATGAAATAGCTAGACTCTGCACATGCATAGACAAAAAAGTTTATTAGTGGTTACCAGAGCCTGGGGGGAGGGATAAATTGGGACAAGAGTTTCTGTTTAGGTGGATTGGAAAAAGACTTTAAGACAAAGAGGGTGATGGTGGTATAGTATGGTGAAGTAAAAAGAGAGTTGTGAGAAACAGATATCCATAATCACAAATAAACAGATAATCACAAATTAACATTAACAAAAGAAAAATAGGAAACAAATATATGTTTTTGACACACTCATTTCTTAACTGTTGCTTCCATTAATGAACTAATATCAAGAGTCATATGAACATAATTTTGCTTTTGTAAACCATTTTACTAACGAATAATTTCTGTCATGAAATTTCCATTTCAATTATATAGGTCAATGATTCTGGTAAATTTGTAAGTGTGTCCACAATCCAGTTTTATAACATTTCTATTATCCCTAGAAGATTTTTCCACATCATTTGTAGTTAATTCCCATTACTATCCTAAGAAAACACTACTTACTATCTCTATAGTGAAGTCTTTAAAAAAATTTCCATAAAAGTAGAATTATAAAAACTGTCTATCTTCTTTCATTAGATAATGTTCTTAAAAAACATCTACACTTCCTCTTTATGTGTTTCCTTTCAAGGAGGGAGTTCCACCTCTTTGGAGATGTAACTTTCTAATAAATTTACCTTTATTATTTTACCCTAAAATAAACCCACACAACATAACAGGTGGTAGGCAGGACATTTAAATAATAATCTTGAGCAAGATTATGTTTGCAGAGGAAGATGAGAGATGGCAGACCCGAGCATCATGTGGAGCTCGCCACCTCACAACTGGCCTTCTAACAACCTTGGTTTGAATCTTTGTTCTGCTGCCTTTATTATTTTTTCAACCTTAAGTGAGTCTGTTCACCACTCTGGAAGCCCCTTCTCCATCTGTGGAGGGGTAAGGGAAGGATACCTATTTTGAGTTATTGTTAGACCACTTGGTTGAGAGGAAGGGGGCAATGATGGGGGTGCTGGAGCTGCTGTCCTTGGCCATGGTCCCCAGTAAGGTGCAAGGTCCAGACCTCAAAGGAGCTTTGGGGTGGGGGAGAGAGCTGCCCAATCCTTGGGGAGAGCTCCTGGCCCCTGGGGAGAGTTATCTTCCTGGTGTGTACGAGGAACTTTATGTAAGTCACTTTCTTCCATCTCCTCCTCCTCCAGTACACCTGTAAGTAACATTTTCAAAGCCCTTTTCTTTGTAACTCACAAGTTTGTTCTCTCTAGGTTTGTTCCCTTTCCTATAGGTAACCTGAACATTGAGTTTTGTTCCAGAACCTGAACCCTGAGACTAGTTTGAGAGACAAAAGGGAAATATAACTACCAGCTAAGGAAGCAAAGGTGTACAGAGCCTCTCCCAGTTCAGCCAGCCACTCCCACTGGACTCACCCACACAAACACCCTGCAGTCCAGAGGGCAGAAAATGTCATGAAAATATCTTTTACCTGAACAAGAAGGCACGTAGCTTCAACTCAAGACTACCAGTAAAGTGTTAAAGTGGGCTTCCCCTCCCCTTCATCTCAATGCCCCTTTTCAGCATGAAGCAGCCAGAGAGTCTGCATCCCTATTCCCGAAGGGGAAACTTACAAATAAAAACACACACTCTCTTTGTTTAAAAACCAAAAAAAGAAAACCCCACCAACCAAATTGTGCAGCTCTGCAACTGCATTCCTGCAATTTTCATCCCTGCCCTTTCTCATCATTCTGTTCCCAACCCTCACCTCCTTGTATCCCCAACATGTTTTTCCTGATAAAATTTAAAAAAAGAAAAAGAAAGAAAGAAAAAAAAAAAAGATCATCACCGTTGAACTATGCCCATCAATTGATGTGTCTTTTCTGGTCCCCACTGGATTTTTCTCGTTTCCTTTATCCACTGCCTCCACCCATCAAATTGTGCAACCCTGCGATTTCATCCCTTCCCATCATCACCCTTCTACTCCCACCCTTACCCCCCTTGGATCTCCACATATGTTTTACTAGTTATCCTTCTATTTTTACAATTTATAAAAGGGGGGGGGAGAACCTCCACATAACAAAAAACCAACCAAAAAAAATCATCTACACTGTAGTAAGTATTAGCGGTTTGTGCTTTTTAAATACTGAAGAGTATTTTCATTGTATATCTCACATTTTGATTATACGTGCAATAGTTGAACACTTCAATTGTGTCTATGTTTTGGTTAATAGGAATATTCATGTATATGTTTACTGTAGACTTTATGTCTCTTAAGTAGGTATCAAAAGGGTGTAATTGTTAGGATCAAAGGTGAATTTCCATCCCTTGTCTGTCAGCTGGTTGCCCTGTCAAGGCTTTTGTGTTGCTCTGATGTTACAGGCTATGCCACTAGCGATACCAGGCAGGATTACCATTGGTGGACATGTTTCACAAAGGACAGTGGTCTAGTGTATTCACAGAGATGGGATAGGACTCAGTCACTTTTGTTCTGCCTGGTACGGTGTTAGCATGACAACAACAACAGGGGCAACTCAAAAGCAGCTAAAAAATGGGTATAAGAGTACAGATCTATTAACATGGATATTTCACATCAAGTACTTTATCCTAGGTAGACCCTTCATCATAAGCACAAAGGATTCCTTATAAAATTGTTGTACCATGTTCATATTACTAAACATATAGACATTAGCAGATGAATAGGATCTATGAGTCAATCATACACAATAATGTCACACCTATAAAAAGCTGAACTGGCAAAAATTGTGTGAGATATATTTTACACTACCAACAAAAACAGTCAATGAGGCTGTTTCTGTACTTCTTGGGCTTGGGTGCCTTAGTTTGGAGGTTTATGGGCATGGTTTAATGGGATATCCCAGCAATCAATAGGCCTAGTGATACGTTTAGTATTTTTGTTCTACCTCCTAGTTGGTTGTATGTTTAGGGTCTTAAAAATTTGCAAGAGTCTATCCAAAGCACAACAACTGGTCTACTTACCACAGAGGAGACAGCAGAGTCTATATGCAATTTCTGACTCTCCTTCCTCTGTTGTCTCCTCCGTGGCAAACAGAGACCCATGTTACAGAATTATACATGCTCAAATAGTTGAAGCAGGTTTGTCTTGTGCTTACAGTATCAACAGTAACAAAAACTGAAGGGGGAACAGGAAAAGTTATTAAAGAAATCTCCTATTGAATAAATTGCTATGAGCAATATATGTAAAAATATTTTAAATAAAATTATGTTACAGGTGGCTTTTAACTGATAAATAACCATATATTCTATATGACCTTGAGTGAAAATGAACCAGCATAAGAGTATTTCACAATTTCCATTTTTAATACAAAAATACAAAACAAACTATTGTGTGTATGCATGTGTGCAAACATGTGAATATAAAAAAAATCACCACAATTATCTTTAAATAGGGGATTAGATTTGATTGTTTTGTATAGCTCCACTTTCTAAATTTTTTTCTACGGTAAACATAAACTTATATTTGTAGTGAAAATAAACTGGTATCTTCTATTTTATGAAATATCTTTTATGTGAAAAAATTTGAGCACGCAGTATAATTTTAATGTTTAATGAAAAAAATACAAAAAATAAGTCCTAAATTTATGCCCTTTATGCTATAAATGTACTTTAACATTTCAATTTGTAATTATTTTAGAGAAAAAGAATTTTACTATAGTGATTAAAATGAAATACAAATGCTGTTACTTATTTCAGAGATTAGAAATTTCAGTTGTATAATGAAAAATATCTAGTGAATACTCAAGACTACAGACTTACCTAATAATCTGTCCTTCTTCTTCTGGAGTAGCCGGCCTTAAACCTAGAACTATGTGACACACCTGGGGGGAAAATGATAATTTGAATTTTACTGATTTGTTGCAATGATCAGACTGCAGAAATGGGAAGGTGCATTAGCAATAGCTTTCAACTGATAGAGTATTGATAAGTAGTTTAAATGGTTTAACCATGCAAATTTTAACTTTAGATTTTCTGTTCTGTTCTTAAACAAACCATTACAAATGGAGGCAGCATTCCAAATCTCTATGTGGAACAGAGAAGAGGGAAAAAAAAAGAAAACCAAACATTTTTCTGAACAAGTCATTTTTACTTTATATCTTAGAAAGAGCCCTAGTGACATATCAGAGTGCTAAATAGGTGGTCAGAAGATCTAATTCTCCAGCTCTTCCTCAGGAGAAATACAGAGAACCTTCACAGGTCTGAATTCCTGATGGAGGACCATTATGAGTCCAAAGAGATTTGCATATAGTGGGCAAATTATATTTTAACATAATAGTGTCACTGTATATTATTTTCTTTCTTGAAATCTAAAAAGTCTGTCATGCCACTTGGATAGGAACACAAAGAGGATATACAAGATGAAAAAATCTGAACATAATTCAAATGGAGAAAAATGATTGTTATTAATGTTGAATACTCTTTTAAAGGCTTACTTCACATTTATTTATTTGCCTTCTTAAAATATCATCACAGAAGACTCGGTGTTTTCCAATAACTTACCTTGAAAAATTTCAAATATACAGAAAAGTTGAAAAACTTTTATAGTGAATATGGCATATTCACCACTTGGATC